ATTTAGTTCTAGAGAATTTTCGTTTTGTGTTAGGATTTCTACTCTCTCATTATTTTTGTTTCTCTTAACAACTATCAAAAATAGATCTTTGATTGCAGCCAGTATTATTTTATCAGGTCCTAGAATGGGGGCTGCTACATCTAGTCGGCTATTTGACATTCATTTGATAATAATTTTTTTAATTGAGGTATATCTGATTTACAATGTTGTGTTAGTTCCTGGAGTACAGCATAGTGATTTAGTTATGCACACACGTACATATTTATTCCTTTTCATAGTCTTTTTCATTATAGGTTATTACAAGATACTGAATATAGTTCCCTATGCTATACAGTAGGACGTGTTGTTTATCTCTTTTATACATAGTAGTTAGTATCTGCAGATCCTGAACTTCCAAAAACCTGGAACACTTCACAAATTTGCCTGTCATCCCTGTGCAGGGGCCATGCACATCTTCTCTATCTCATTCCAGTTTTAGTGTATGTGCTGCAAAGTGAGCACTCATTTGATAATAACTTTTAATAAATATTGAGCACTCAGTATGTGCCATTTATGTCCCAGTAGCACTCAACATGCTCCCAAAATAAACTAAAGATCTTCTCATACAAACTCAGTCCTCTTCCTGTTGGGACCTACACAACCTGTTGTGAAACTGAGAAACATTTTCAGGTACCCACTACTATTAACCTCAAAAGCACACGTAATTCATCACTAAGTCTTATCCCTTTGCCACTTAAGTTGTTCTTGGATTCATCTACCTTTCTCCAATGCCAGAGTCACTGTTATTGTACCAGACCAAGATTCCGTTATTTCTCTTCTGGACTACTGCAGTATCTTCATAGTTATTTTCTCTTCTTCCATTGTTGCATTTCAGTGAGATATTTCTTACATCTTTATATTCAAAAGAAAGTTATGATCATGGTACTCCATCTTGCCTCCACTTAGAATTCTAGAATATTTTTCTTTGCTTATCAGATAAATATGAAAATTTTAACAAGGCCCTTTATAGCCTTACAGTCTCCAGATCATTTCACTTCACTCATTTCCTCCTCCTCTGTTCCCTTGTTTCTTGAAATGTGACCCTTTCTATCATCGCTGGGATCAGCTCCCATTGTACCTTGTACCTTTACTTCCTGACACTTACCAAAATTTACATTGATACACTTTTAATATCATATCTCAAATGTCTATATTTTGCATTAGACAATACACTACTTTAGGGTAACAACAAAAAAAGTGTATTTTAACCCAGTGATATTCTCGGCATATACCCGTTGGTGGTACCTATTAAATATGCTGTATTTGTTGTTACTTAATGAACACACACACGTATAGCACTTATAACAGTAGTTCTTTTTATTTTAATTGGGATATAATTCTCCTTTGTAAAGTGTAGAATTCAATCAATGATTTTTACTCTATTTACAAAGTTATGCCACTATGATCACTGTCTTATTTCAGGACATCAATACCATTCCTAAAAGAAAGACTGGCTAGCAATCATTTCTAATTTTACCTTCCCTTTAGCCCCTGCAAAATAATAATTTACTTTCTATCTCTGTGGTTTTCTCTATTTTTGACACATCCATAGAACAGGGTAATACAGTATATGGCTTTTCTGTTTGGCTACTTTCACATAGCATAATGTTTTCAATGTCCTACCATGTTTTATCTTGTATCAATACTTCATTCCTGTTTATAGTTAAATAATATTTCATTGTAGAGATATATCACATTTTGTTTATTTTGTCAACTGGTGAACAGTTTTTTTTTTTTTACTAGTTTTTGGCAGTTATGAGTAATCCTGTACAAACAAATGTATACTTTTGTATTTACTTTTTAAATTTATTTTGGGTACCTATCTAAAAGTAGAATTTCTGGGTCATATAATAACTCAATTTTTAATGTTTTGAAGAATTGCCAATCTGGTTTTCAAAGCAGCTGTACCATTTTATTCCTATCAGCGATGTATGAGGGTTCCAATTCTCCACATCCTTGAAACAGCCTTGTCTTTTTTACTATAGTTACCCTACCGGGTGTGAAGTCCTATCTCATTGTGATTTTGATCCGCAATTTCCTAAGGGCTAATATTGAGATCTTACCAGATACTTTTTAGTAACTTGTCTATCTTTGGAGAAAATGTCTATTCAAAGCCTTTTCTCATTTTTCACTTGAGCTACTTGTCTTTGCACTTTGAGTTCTAAGCATTTGTCATATATTCTCAATACTAACCTTTTATCAGACATATGATTTACAAGTATTTTCTTCCATTCTATGAGTCATTTTCTCATTTTTCCTTAATAGTAACACATGAAATACAAAAGGTTTTAATTTTGATCAAGTAAAATTTATCTTTTTTTTCCTTTTTATTGTGTGTATTTTCAGTGATATATTTAAGAAACCATTGTTTAATCTAAAGTCCCAGAGATTTAATTCTATGCTATCTTCTAAGAGTTTTATAGTTTTAGCTCTTACATTTAAGTAAATTCTTTAATCTATTTTGAGTTAATATTTTTGTGTGAGGTAAGTTTTCCACTTCATTATTTTGCATGTAGCTATCAGTGAAGTTACCACAGCACCATTTGCTGAAAAGACTATGTTCCCCCTCATTGTCTTGGCACCCATATTGATAATCTGTTGACCATTAGTAAGAGTATATTTCTACACTCTCAATTCTATTCCATGGATACATATGTCAATATTTTTATTTATTCTTAAGCCAATGCCAGAATACCTTGGTTACTGTAGATTTGTAATAATTTTTGAAATCAGACAGTGAATCTTTGAACTTTCTTTTTCTTTTTCTTTTTTTTCTAGTCTGGGTCCTTTGCATTTCTATATGAATGTTAGAATTAGTTTGCCAATTCCTGCAAGATAGCAGTTGAAATTTTGATGTGATTGTGTTGAATCTATAGATTAGTTTGAGGAGTATTGACATCTTAATTATAGTAAGTCTTAAAATCCGTAAACACAGGATCTTTCCATTCCTTAAATTTTCATTTCTTTCAGTGATATTTTGTAGTTTCCAGTGTATAATATTTGTACTTCTTTTGTGAAATTTTCCTAATTATTTTATTCTGTTTAATGCAGCTATAAGTGGAATTGTTTTGTTTTAATTTGGTTTGTGCTTTTTCATTACTAGTTTATCAGAAATAAAATTGCTTTTTGTGCATATATATTGTACCGTATAGTTTTGCTGAATGAGCTTATCGGCTATCATAGCTTTTTGGTGGATTTCTGAGTATTTTGAATTCACAAGATCATGTCAGACACAAATAGAGACAACTATACTTCTTCCTTTCCAATCTGATTCCTTTTATTTACTTTTCTTGCCTGACTGCCTCTGTTAGAATCCCCTGCACAATGTTGAATACAAGTGGCAAGAGTATACATCCTTTCTTCGTTCCTTACCTTAGGGGAAAAGTTTCAGTCTTCACCATGAAGTATGATGTTAACTCTGGGTTTTTCATACTTGGCCTTAGGTTGAAGAAGTTCCTTTCTATTCCTACTTTGTTGAGTAGTTTTTACATATATCTGCATTGACTATTCCTTCCTCTGTGCCCTTATTTCCATAAATTACATCTTCATATATTATATACCTATCAATCCATATTTATAATGGTTGTTTTATGTAGCTGTCTTTTAAATCATATATTTAAAAATAGCTTAAAACAATAATACGTTTATACTGTCTTTTGTATTTACCCATTGTAGTTACATTTATTGGTGCTCTTTATTTCTTCAAGTGAATTAGAGTTACTGTCTATTAGTCTTTTATTTTATCCTGAAGGATTCTCTTCAGTAGTTCTTTTTAGGGTAGGTCTGCTAGGGACAAATACTCAGTTTCTATTTATCTAAAGATGTCTTAATTTCTCCTTCATTTTTGATGAATAAATTTGCTGAGCTTGGTATTCTTGGTTGACAGTCGTTTTCCTTCAGCACTTTGAATATGCCATCCCACTGGCTTCTGGCTTGCTTTCTTTCTGATTAGAAATCAGCTGTTACCTCATTTATGATCCCTTCTACGTGATGAGTTGCTTCTCTCTTGGTGCTTTCAAGATTCAAAATTTGACTTTTGCTTTTGACAGTTTGATTATGATGTGGATCTCTGAGTTTATCGTAGTTTACTGAGCTTGGATTTGTAGATTAATTTTTTTAATCAAATTTAGGAATTTTTTTCTGGTATTTCTTCAAAAAAATTTTTTTTCCCAATATTTCTTCCAGTATTTTTTTTCCAGTATTACTTCTGCTCCTTTCTCTTTTCTTTCTTTCTGGGACTCCCATTATGTGTACCTTGATATACTTCATGGTTGTTCTTCAGATCTCTGAGGCTCTGTTCACATTTTTTAAATTTCTGTTACAATGAATGGGTAATTGTAAATTGACCTATCTTCAAGTTTGCTTCTTCTGCCAGCTCAAATATGCCGTTGTTCCCCTCTAATGAATTTTTTATTTCAATTATTGTACTTGTCAGCTTCAGAATTTTTACTTGATTATAATTATTTTTTAAACCTAGCCTTTATCTGTATTCTCTTTGCAGTGAGACATTGTTTCATACTCTTCTTTGGTTCTTTACACATAGTTTCCTTTTGTTCTTTAGACTTACTTAAATAGCTTATTTAAAAGTTCTGTTCATTATTACCAATGGATGGTTTCTGCCAACTGCTTTGTATTAGTTTTTTTTTTTTCTGGTGTATGGGCCCTACTTATTTCTTTGTATGCTTTATAATTATTTTTATTGAAAACTGGAGATTTTAAATAATATTGCATGGCAACTCTGAAAGTCAAATTCTTCCCTTTACCTAGGGCTGGCTGTTGTTGCTCTCATTTTTTCAGTGATTTTGCTGAAATAACTCTGTAAAGTTTATTCATTTTAATGTGTGACCAGTAAAGCCTTTTGATTAGCTAGTGGTCAGCTAATTATTAGACAAGATTTACTTAAATGCTTGAAACCAGTAAGTCTCCTTCCCTTGTCAAGGGGCTCCGTGTGTGTTGGGAATGCCTTTAATACTCAGGCAGACAGTTTACAACTCTGCCCTGATCTTTATTATCTGCTTCCACAGAGCCTCACTGTCAGCCAGCGGTAAGAGCACAGGACATTTTCAGGTTTTTCCTGACATGTACAGAGCCATAGAAATGAATGTGGTCTTTAAGACTTTCAGGAATATGTCAGAACTTTTCAAAATCCCCTATAGATGTCTCATTCCCCAATTTTTCTTTTTAAGTTTTGGTCATCTTCTTGCTGGTCTCACCTGCAATCACTGCCTTAGGCATGCGTGATGTTAAACAATTGCTGCTGATTGTTTTTGACAATTGCGCCTGAGGAAAAGGCTGATCTGAGTCCAGTGAAATAAAAGCAAGCCTGTGAGATGGATTTTTCAGAGAATTTCCACAGTGGTCAAAAAATGACAGTTATCTGAGAATTACGTTAGTGAGGAGTTCCGTATCTGTTCTGCCTTCTCCAGTGGCAGTTAGGCGGCCCGTTTTCACCACAATCGTGT